GAACACGTGGCTGCAAAAGTGCAACAAGTCCTGCAAATGCAAAAGATTTTTTTTTTCAAAGATGCACGAAAAGTTCGAGGCGACAAAATCTCAGGAACTCCTAAAGATAAAAGTCTGAAGTCTTCACTGTTATCATGTCATTTATTGAGAATCTGAAATGTTGGACAGGCAGGTTGAATAATCTCAGACTATGGGGGAGTTGAAATTTGAAGAAAAGTTGCATCTTTGAGCTCAAGATAGCAAAAAAATTGATCACGTAAAAGTCCACTGGTGATGTTTTCTGACCCACATGAAGCTGCAGGTCACGATGAGACAAAATCAAACAGAGAGAATAGAAATAAATAGAACATTTCACCAATAAGACGAAGGACGCTGATGATCAGAGAGAGAACAACCTTCAGCCTTTTTAATGTCGTCTTTAAGGCTGCGAGCGCCACAAAGGACGGTTTGTTCGTTTGGTCGTCAGAAGCGTGTTCGCAGTAAATCTGCATTATTAACTAACAAACTCTCAAAAGTTCCTCGAAATGTGCAGGAATTCTTTGGTTTGTTTGTCCAACAGGCCTGAAAAAAGGAGCCGCTATCGGAGTCATGAGGTTTTTCGCCCAACAATGACGGCATTTAGCGTCCACAGAAGCAGCCCTCTGTCCTCGCCAGGAAAAGATTTACGGAGCGCTCAGATGATTTTAACTGTTCGGCGTCGTTCTGGTCGAGCTTTCCAACCGCCGAGCGAGGAAATCGTCTCGTCCTCTGCCCCGGTTTGACCTCGGCAGCGTTCGAACTGCAGGAACCAGGAAGTTCTGCAACGAGACGCGATCACACATCGCGCTTTACGAGGAAGGAGGGTTTCGGTTTCCGCCTTCTGATCAGTTTACAGTTTGTTTACTGTGGGTTTTATTGTTTGTTTGTTTTTTTACGAGACGTTTTCAGCACCGGGAGCGTCGGCCCGGACTGGGAGGAATTAAACCGGACTCGAATAACTCCACGAGAGATTATGAAGTCTCCGCCTGGAGGTTTAACGGAGTCTAAGTGTATGAACGGAGGATGGATTAATGAGTAATTAATGCAGCTTCCCTTTCCTTCAAAATGTTTCAGCTCATCGTTTCACTTTCATTGCAAAGTTTTCTTCCACATAAACATCTGTACAACACCTGTGCAGCAGCAGACAAACAGCTACAGATGATCAACATATCGGAGCTTTCAGCAGCTGAAGAGCCTCGCTGGAGGTGGAGGAGACCAAAGACGGAGCTAAAAGTGGTCAAATGTGGGGCTTTGATTCGTCACATAAAACTGAATATTTCACAACAAATTGAATGATTGAAAGAGAGCTGATGGTATAAAAGAAGCTAAAATAGTCTGCTGGAAAAACAATTAAAATAAAAATAAAATACTGCCTCCTTAAAAAAACAGTAAAAAATATGAAAACGACGGCAGATATCTGTAAAATAACGATTGCTGATTTAAATTAAAAAGAAAAAAGAGTTTAATTTTACAGCAAAACATTGTTTAAAAATGCGATTAATATTTGTAAAAATACTCATTTTTGATTTGGACATTATTTACAGTTTTATCCTCAAAACAGGAAAAACAAAAACAGGAAAAAATCTGTGAAATAATATTTTTAAAAATATATTTACCATTTTCCAATCCTTAATAAGCAGAATTTTTCATTTTTCTTTATATAAAAAAATAAATTATCAGTTAAATTTAAAAAAAGGTGTAATTTTACAAACACTGTAAAAAAAATTTATAGTAAAATATCTAAATTATTTTATTATTTCTGCAATTTTCCTAGATATTATTGATAAACTGACAAAATGGGAAAAATTTGTAAAATTACAGCAAATTTCTTTTATTATTAATATTTTTTAAAAATCCAAATAAAATTTGTCTGAAATATTTATTTAAATTATACAGTCTGGAGCCTGAACAGAGGTCTATTAAAGCACTTTTTGAATCACGTTATTGTGAAACTTTCCCCTTAAACTTTAAAAACCAGACGTAAACTCACTCTGATGATGAAACGAGTCGACCTGATGAGTCACTCTGAGCTGGTTTCACGACTCTTTACAGGATTAGGCTGCAGGAGTCGACGGCTGCAGGAAAAAACACGCGATAATCCCTAAAAAAATATCAGCGGCATTACATCGGTTCACGTTAATGACATCTCACAGGGCGGGAGGCGAGAGTGAAACGGCTACAAGCGTCTTCGAGGAAACGATTTAAAGACGTTCCCCGAGGCCACGACCAGGAAAAAACTCAACAATCTGATGTTTGTGGTTCATTGTGATCAGAGTTCGACGTCTTTGTGCATCTTTTCTGGTAACAAACGCAAATAAAGTCGATTTTATTGTCTAATAACAGCATTTTTTCTTCTTGAAATCACCACAAACCTGCAACCGCTGACGTGTTCTCCTCTAAAACCACAAAGAGCTTCTGACAGAACATCAGATATCGCCGCAGAATATCTGCAAAAATAAAATACGAAGCGTTTTCATTTTCAATAGTTTCACAACTGAAAATAAAATAAAAACATTCAACTCTACTGAAGCTACAACGAGGGTTTCATTTAATTTATTGTTAATAATAATAATAATAATTCACAACTGAAAATAAAATAAAAACATTCAACTCTACTGAAGCTACAACG